CCCATCCCATGTCTTCTCATCACCATGTGCACGCTGCAACGAAGGGTTTGGAGGCGCTAGCTGCGTGCTGACATGGCAGTCATTGTCTCCCACCATCGTCTCTCTGGGGGTGGCACGTTGAGCATGAGAGCATGGCCATGTTGCTGACACCCATCAACAGCTAGCTTCCTGCCATGCATAGCTCTCTCCGTAGCAGCATTAGCAGTGCCCGAGTGGGGTTTGACTTGCCAACGATGCTCCCCAGACTCATGTATTGTGCCTGAGATGGAGGGCAACTGACATCCCTTTCTGAGCGCCGGCCGTCCTTGGCCCGGCTTGACGCAACCGGGACCCCGATCCCTGGTCCCTGTTTTGTGTTCTTCGGCCGGGTCTGTTCTGTTCTGTGCTGTGCCATGCTGTGCTGTGCTTTGGGCTGCAGCCGGCGCGTTGTGAATCTTCACCCCCTCCACACATCCTTCGTCCAGTGACCGTTGCGACTGGCTGTCATCCAACGCAAAGTTACAACGCTTCTTCCAGAGACGCGAGGCCCAGTGACATTGCAGCTACGGCGAGATGCGCTTATCACCTTGGTCCAACCCAGAATCACACTCTTAGCCGTTGCCGCACGTTTCGTAGCGCATAGCTCCTCCATCCACCACTCTCTCGTACTCCGACTCCAACGAAGTCAGGGTAGGACCTTGGCATACCGCAGATGCCATTCAGACTTTACGGCATACACCGCTCCTTGGGGGGCCACACGACAACAAGACAGCGCAGTTACGAACCATTGGGAAAAGATGGTTGCCAACCAAAAGCAAGCATGCCACCACCAAAAGCTGTCGTTCTCCGCTGCTTCCTGCCGCATCGTGCTGTCAGACACTTGACCCCCAGGAAGGACCGATTTGGTCTCCTCATTTGTCTCTTTCTATGTCTCTCTCTCTCTCTCTACCCCTTCATGTCAACGTCTCAGCATAATCAAGAAAGGAGAAGAAAGCAACAAAAAAAGTCACTTCATCGGATGACCATGCTACCGCTCACCCAATCCCGTCCTCTTACACACCCCCTTTTCCAATAGTTCTAATCTTCTTGTCACGTCCCAGCTTAAGGGAGGCAAGGAGAGGAGAAGAGAGACTGACTGGGGTGTGTCGGCGGCAGGCTTAGATGCTGTCCTGACACCGGCAGTCGATCATTGTGCGGCCTTGACACGAGGGAGGGGACGTTGAACATTGAACGAACCGGGCGAACCCATGTCCTTCGTTGCCTGTCATTATGGTTCGCTGATCGCGCGTGTGTGTATGTCTCGAACCCAGAAGGGGGGCAGTGACAAAACGTTTGTGTGCCAAGATGTCAGAGACAGAGACATGATGTGAGGTCTATCTCGACCGCAAGAGCAAAAAGCAAAAAAACCACAATGGAACATTTTTATTCCTCTCGTTGGACGTGCATTGCAGGCTGCCTGCTGCATGTTTTAGCAATCTAGTGACATGCTCTCTTGAGACCAGAGAGCTATGCGTGAGACATGCCGCCGGGGTGAGAAGCTGCACGCCATCAGCAGTCACGGGCACGCATGGCATGGCATGGCATAGCATGAACTGAGATGTGCAGTCAGCCCAGCTCAGGGGAAAGCTACTGGCAAGGAGGAATAACAAAATAACGAACTGGCGGAGGACGCTACCGGTCAAAGTATACCGCAGCGCTGGATTGTATGGCACAGTGACTTGAGGGGCAGCGTTGGCTCAACGTGAGGTTGGACTGAACTGGCGGAAGGGAAAGGCAAAGACTAAGACTTAGGGGACTGTAGTTCGATGGATCTGCAAGCCTCCGTTATCGAGATCGCGGCGGCTTGCCTGACATGCACCGGCACCATCAACGGATCCGTCAAGCCGTTCTTCCCACTCGCGCCGCCGCCGCCGCCGCCCGGCCGGTGGCCTTGCATGTTTGGTTGGGTGCTCAGCAGCAGTCTCTTCTTGCTCAGCTGTGTGTGTGTTGCCATGGGAAGGGGTCCTCAGAGGGAGAGAAGGATGAGGAGGCGGAGGAGGCGGAGGAGGCGGAGGAGGCTTACGATTACGTCCCGAGTGGTGGTGTAAGCCCGTACCAAGCCAACGGAGGCCGGACGCAAGTCAACGTGTCTAGTGTTGTGGACCTCGATCTCGCACTTCGCGGCCCTCTCCCTCAATCTAGTGTACCAAGCAAAGAGCGAGCTGCGCAGGCGTTGATGATGAATGATGTTGGTCTTGTCTTATCCTTCATGTCTCTCGCTCTCTGTATCTTCCCCCCACCGGTCGACGCCACTTGCCTCTGGTCTCTGCCCTGTCCCCGATCTCGTGGCGTCTCGTATCATGTACTACCATGAAATGCCCCCAATCCACCCACTCATCTCACTCGCGCGTGCAGCGCGTGGTCTGGACAAAAAAGCATCCAACCATGGGTCTGATGTCTGTGAACCCCGAAAAGAGGAGAGAAGAAAGGAATCCAGACTCCAAAACCGAGACCCCTCAGATATGGCTTCTTTTTCCTGCTGGTCTCCCCGCCCTCTCTAGCCCTCTCTTGCGGGAGGGGCGTGTGTACTGGACGCGGGTGTGCTGTGTTGGTGTGAGAGCATGCGGCATGTATGTATCTACTTCCGTCTCTGCAGCTGCAGCAGAAGCAGCAGTCACAGCAGCAGGAAGGCAACAAATCATCCGCCCGCCCTGGCGACGTTGCGAACTGGGCAGGAAAAAAAAACAAGAAGGCAGGACGGCAGGTACGCAAGGACTTTTTGGGAAAACTTGGCTCCCCTTACACACGCCACGCTCCCCCTCCTGTTTCCCTTGCCATGAGGTCTTCTCGTGTGTTACACACTTGAGTCCAGTTTCCCTTCGATTCTACGTGGTAGTAGCTCCCCCCGAAAAAAAAGGTGAAGAGGAGTGTGGAATGTTTCACAAGAGAAAAGAACACTGCATATTTGGGAAGGGGTTCGTTCGTTTTTCCCTCGCTCCTCCATCCAGTCAATGCTTTTTCTCGCATTCTAGACGTCCCGGACGAACGAATCTCCTTGGTTGCTTCCCTGTTTCCCCCCACCCAACCACACACACCACACACACACCTCACAAAACCACGGCGGCGGCGACGGCGGCAGCCGCGCACGGCGCACGGGAGAGGCGGTAACTGTAGCAAAAACGAAAAAAAGAGTACCTACATCACAAACATTGATGACGATAGTGGTGCGGTTGACCGTGCTGGGAGAGTCTCTGTTCAGTGATCTCATACTAAGGATTAACAGGTGGCTGGGGGGAAAGAGAGGTACAGAGTAACAAAAAAGGAAAAATGGCACCGGTCTCCGTCTTAGTCCGGCACGAAGGGTCGACTAAGGGACCATTTTCGCCGCCCGCCCAGCCCTTCCCATCCAGAGCGGCGGCGACGGCCGACCCCGCGCGCGCGCGCGAGCTACACGCTCAGTCTCCCGCTGCAGAATCCGTGTGTTATGATGAAGCAAACATTGGTTATCGTTGCGCGGTGGCCCAGTGCGCTGGAAAGTGTGCGGGTTTGAGGAACGACGAACAACCCTCAGCCAAACAACAGTCCAGTCCAGGCAGAGAGCAGCAGACTGACTAAAGGTGACCATGGCCATAGCATGGCGCCGGTAGTATCTAACCCGGGATCTTGGGTCCTGTGCCCCGAAATCTCGTTATTTCTCTCCCTTCTGCTACCGCTACCCTCCATTAGCCAGCCGACTGCTATAGGGTCCAATCCCCAGGTTGATGTAACCGCAGACTCCTTTCGCCCATCTCTTACGGGGGACCGAGAGTAAGGGATAAGGGAGCAGGCAACATGGCAGAGATAGGGGAGGGGAAAGGCGTGGTTGGGCCAGGCGTGTGTGAGTGAGTGAGAGTGTGTGTGTGCGTGGGTGTGTGCGTGGGTGTGCGTGAGAAAGACATCTCGCCATCCAGGAACCACAAACATCATGCTCTCGTTAACGGCTCACACAGACCCTTTTCGTTTCCTTGCACGCTTTCTGCGTAATGTGTGTGTATTTTGGTTTTTGTTGCTTACGGGTTGATGATAAACACAGCTTGTAAACAACCATGCGCTTTGATTCACGTAGAGTCCGTCCACTGACTTCGTTCGACTTCGTCATGGGCTGCTGGTGTAGGCCAAAAAACAAAAAGAAGATCTGTTCGCCCTAGGGCTCGCGCACCATGGACCATGGCTGAAGGGGAATGCGTCACCCGGAGGCTTGCTGATCACGGATGGAACCTTGGGAAGGCCATTCTCGTGTTTCCTGCGCAGCAAGTTTTCTCTTGGCGAAAGGCTTTCCGAGCCTGTCTCCAACGTTCGAAGGATGGGAGGAAGGATCAATCTTCCTCAACACGCACATGGGAAGGAATGGCTGTCATCGAATGTTTGAGGCTAAACAAGTGTTTTTAAACAAGGGTTTTGGTTGATGTTTGTTGTGTTACTATGTACAGTGAACAAAATCGACTAGAAAACAAAAAAGTTGGTACACTGATATCGTTCTACGATCCCTTTGTGGTTGGTAAAACTTGGCCTCTGGTTTGGCTGATTTGAAGACGAAGAAAAAGATGAACCCCAAGAAAAACAGAAAACATCGATAAAAAGCGTTGACAAAATGTCCGAGATGAATCTGATGAATGCATTTGTCTGCCCACCATCCGCCCGTAGTGCCTGGTAAACCGCCCCGTTGAACCCCTTTCCGATAAACCCATTTGTGTGTGTTGTTGAATAAGAATACATTATTCCCATAGGTACAGTCGACATAGAAAATAGAAACGAGGTGGGCGTGAAAGCAATGGTTTTGCTGGTGCGGGCCCCCCCTCCCGTGGTATTTTTATACAAAGCTCATGAAGTATTAGTGTGTGTTTCCCTGGTGCCGTTTTGTGTTTTTTTTGCCTTGCGTCAGGTCCCGATCGTAGTAAGTCGTTAAAGATAATTGGTCTGGTATGAATTCTTTTGTTGCGATGTTTGGAATTTTTGCGTTTTTCTTTGTCTCTCTTTGGTGCATGATGATGTGAGGCGTCCTTCTAGATGCTCCCCCTCTTGATGTGCGCCGAGCGCCGTTGCTTCAGGCTCTCGAGGTCCTCGTCAAAGGCCTCGCCGTCGCTAAGAGGAACGCTGGAGCGCTTGCCATCATCGTAGTCGGCGCGCTCTGTCGACGGCAGGATCTTGCTCTCGCCGCTGCGGCTGGACATGGCGTCGGACTCAGCACGGGCGTTGCTGATCATGGTGGGCAGCTGCCGGCGCCGCGCGTTGATGAACCAGTTGGAGATTTGGTCTATTGGAGGCAAAAAAATTAGCGTTTCGCCCCAAAGAGAGTCTAACGGTTTCGGAAAGCGTAAACTTACTCATCTGCAATCCAGTCTGACGCATGAGCTCCTGCTTCTCGTCCTCGGTGGGGTACGGGTGGTGCAAGTGAGCCACAAACCACGCACGCAGCTTGTCAGTCGTCTCCTTGGGCAGGTTGCCGCGGCGCTTGCGTTGCTTGCTGTCGCCGTGCATCCCCATGGCGCCAAGCTCTCCAATGCGCATGAATTCAGGGTAGTGGCCATAGCCGGCGGCAGAGAAAGGCGTGCGATCGAACGGGTGGATGGCACCGAGAGACAGAGACTGCACTCGGCTGGGGTGGTGGTATCCGTAGGCGTAACCGCTGGTGCGGTAGGCGGGAGCTGCCTCCATCATGGGAGCAGGGGGCATACCCATCGAGGGACGGATGGGCTGGAACTCATCCTGAGAGTGACCACGGACACGCTGCATGGGGATGGACTCCCGCTCGGAAAAGTTCATGGGCGGCAGGCTGGGAAGCGTGGGGCGGATCTCAGAGCGCTCGTTGACCTCCATGGCAGGGGATCGCATGGAAGTCATGCCGGAGGAAGACATATAAGGGCTGGTTCTCGCTGATCCGGTCCAGCTCTCAGTGGCAGCGCGGGAAGGGACTGGCGGGGAGATTTGACGTTGAGGAATACGGGCAGGGCTGTCGTAAAGTCTCGGCACGCGGCTAACTCTCTCACTCTCCTCCTCGTGATCGATCGAAAGCCTCCTCCTCTTGTTCGAGTTTGGCGAGTGAACGTACTCCGGAGGGGTCATGACACCGGCATATCCAACGGTTGGCGAGGTGTTGGAAGACGTTGTCCTTGTGGTTGACGCCTCCTGTGGCTGCAGGCGAAGGTGAAGTTCTGGGATGGCCTGATATCTCTGTCAGTCGGGGATTTCATGCTTCTCAGACTGGTTAACAAACCTGGCGAATGGAAGGAAGGGCGATTCTCTCGGGCTCAGTGCGAGGACGCGAAGAGTAGTCTGTGGAAGCAGACCTGCCGCCATCCCAAGGGTAGGACTTGAATGCTGAATGGGGGGATGGAGCAGCCATGGCGAGCATAGACATCTTGTGCTGTGGTATCTTGAAAGTGAAGGTCTCTAGACACGACCGTTGCGGATGTAGCGCTGAAGGCTAGATCCTGTGGAAAATAAAGAATGGTGTGGGCTCGAAAACGGAAGCCGCACGGCGGACAAGGACTGCTGCGGTCAGCGAGAAAGATCCGGGAAAGTCGGTTTGCAGAGGAGCGTACCGAGGTCGGTCCAGCCAGGTATTTCGAAAGTTGGCACGTCGAGGATGGTGCTCCTGTGATGTTCTGTTGCTTGGTCGAAGCTGTGTATCTGTATCGGCGGCAGGGTCGAATAGACAGTTGTTATAGTATTGCTCGTCAACGACAGGCGTGGAGAAGAAGAAGCAATAAAAGGATGCTGATGTGATGGTCAGGTGGTCCCAGCCGTTCTTCTGAATCAACAAACAGCTCGAATGGGATGATGGTCGGTGATGATGGAGACAGATGCAAGGTGGGATGGCAGTCCTTTTGTATATCTTTGAGTCTGGGGGAGGTATCGGTGTTGTGTGTAGTAGAGGTGTGTATGTATGTAGGTGTGTAGAGCAAGGTAGGTAGGTAGGCAGGCAGGCGTATGGCAAGGTAAGGTAAGGTAGCGTGGTAGGTTGGTGGAAGGTGGATTAACGGTGGGAGGCGCACAGATGTGGTGCCAAAATAGGAAATGGGAGAGAAGTGTCGAGGAGGAGGACCCGGCGAAGAGCCAAATTGGACAAATTAAGACGGTGATTTGAACACACTGAAACTGACACGAACCAGCCTCAGACGAAAGAGCCCCCCAACTAGTAGGTTCTTGAGTGAATCGGACCGTGGAAGGGAGTTGTGAGAGCTGTGTGAACTTGGAGAAGAAGCAGCAGCAGCAGCGCACAGCCCACGGATGCTTAATGCCTTGCTACTTGACCTATGTATCTGGGAACGAGCCTTTGCTGATGTGGGGGAGGGAGGACGGTTTTGACGGAAGAGACTAAACCTGAACTAGCCCAGAGCTGCGAGGCATGGGCATGGGTGGCATGGCGAGGAGGACGATCAGGGTACAAGCAGCCGTCGATGAGGAACAAGAGGAGGATTGCCCATCTCGACCAGGGTTGCAGGACCACGCCGTCCGTACCCACATCCACAAGGGCCTGCTCCTGGGATGCTGATGGTACCTCCCAAGTGGCGTCCCCCCCCTCCTCTGCCTCTGGCGGACAACGGACTGATATGCTAGGCTCGTGGTGGTACTGGGATATGTCCAGCACCACGGGGGGGAGGGGGGGCATGGATTAGGGGTCTGCTCGACGAGGCCGACCAGGATGCGAGAAGCAGAGTGGAAAGATGGGAGAAGCACTAGCCTGCCTAACAGTGACACGAAAAAGGGCCACTAGGGAACCGCTGTGTGTCCGTGGGCAGGGGTCATTTTGTACACTACACCCCGGGCTGCTGATGGCTTGCTCCCGGGCCAGGACGGTTGTGATGTAGATGAAATTGCCCGAAGGGGGGCGCCGGCGGGTATGGAGATGTTCAATGGCGCTGCTGCATTACTCCAACGACTGACTATCCAACGTGCCATTACATATGCAACTGGCGCGCTGGCGTCAAGTTACCTCACCCTTCCAAGCCAAGCCTCTGCAACGCTCTGGCCGCCAAAAGGTCTACTAGGTTACTGACGGATTGTCAAATGTGCAAACAGGACAACCAAGAGGGAGCAGACAAAATAAAGATGTGCAAACCCGACATAAAAACAATAATTGACGGCAGACGGGCTTGGCGGCCTTGTTCACACGTCGAGTCCCCCAACGTAACGGTGTCGGCCACAGAGGGGCCATTGTCCGTACAGATACTCGACCATCATTTCCCCAACGGGAGCCCCAAAGAAGCAGTGTATTGGCCGCCGCGACATGGGAAGCCGGAGATGCGGTCAATATGGGATGGATTCATGGCATATTGCATCCAAGAACGAAGCCCGTATGGGTTCGTTCCGAACAGGTCCAGTCCTTGATGAATCTTCCGCAACACGATGCAATCGCCCGGCAGAATGCCTATCCTTCCACGATGGCGCCCTCGAATCTTCAGGCCCTTGACGGGCTTCTGCGTGAGCTCAAAAATCTATTTTCGAAGACGCTTGCAGAGTCCTGAATTATCCTGAACTTCATACAGGGCCGATTCGACGTCCGTGATCCCTGAACGTGGCGGCTTCGGGAAGCTGATCACCAGCCAGCCATGAGGCCTAGCATTACTCTCGGGCGTTCGATTCTGCCATCGTTCTCTTCCCCCTTCTATGTTTACGCAGTGCATCCATCGCTCGTGCTCGCCTTCGGTGAGGCGCCGTTGATTCTGCAAATCCCTGTTGTGTTCTTCTTCGTGCACATGGTCAGGGAGTGAGACAACCTGGATAGGGCGTAAGTCGAATATGTCATGACTTGGAGACATGTTGACAGGAACGGGACCCCAAGTTGAAAGATAGCCCGATGGTGTGTTACAGTCGGTGCAATGGGTGCATCTTTTGCTGCTGGTTGTTCAAGTTCCGGTTCGAGCCCGTACGCCAATGTATGAGTGTGTGTGAGAAAGGGAGCAAGTGAGAGAGTGTGTGCATGTGTGCGTATGGTGTGTACGGTGTGTGCCCGTGGATAACGTAGATGGATGGACGGACGACGTTTAGGCGGATGGGCGAGAGCCAGGCCAGGACCTGGGCGACTGGGGGCCAGCAAGGCCAGCCAGGGCGGCCCTGACGTGACGGCGCTCCCCTGCTTGTCTGCCATCGATCCCATCCACACACCCCCGAATGATGTCCATCAGCCATCCCAAAACAACAAGGCGGGTCCGGAAGTCTCCTGGATGGGAAGAAGTACGAATAGAGCAGAGTTGAGTTGTGCGCTAGAGCGGCTATGCCATCCGCCGCTGACACGCCCACCCCCTTCAGCCCAATTCTAATGCTGTTCAGGTATCGTGATTTGTGCAGTCAGTACCTGAATAAGGTCCGCGAGCGTTACAGGCCTGCAAGTATTTGACATTGCCGCGCGAGACCGCTGACGAGTGAGAGGGCAGACAACGCGATTCAGACGTCCGTCCCAAGCCTTGGGTTGAAGAACCGGAGCCGAACAACTTTGTTTCTGACAAGAAACTGGGAGAGTAATGGCATTCTTTCTTTTTTTTCTCCTTCTGCTTGTCCTCTTCCTCTCGTCGCCTCTCAAGCCACCCGTCAGTCGCCCGGTTGCAGCTGACGTCTGTGACGTGCTCAAAACAACAACCTCCTAACCGTACAGAGTCCGAGGGTTGGCTGGTTGATTGCTCCTCCTAGGCGTCGAACGTCCTTCTGAGGCTTCGACCACAACCTTCGATGGCGGAGGCTGTGCTTGTCAACGACGACAAAAAAAGGGCATGGCACTTCGACCCAAGGACAATCGATGTAGACTGAAACGTCAACCATCATTGGATGCTTTTCTTCCGTCCGAGTGTTTTGGAACACGAGTTGAGTTGCGCGCGATGCATGCGGTGCGTTGCGGCTCCCACCATTGACGGGCCATACGTCTGGTTATCGGATCGTTCTGACATTTGCCTTATCTGGAAGTGTTTGCAGGCCTTGATTCAAAACGAAGGCTGGTGTCCATTTGAGCAGAGTTGCTGCTCTGCGATTGGTGATGATCAAACTTTGACATATGTAACCTTCGTCCCCTCGTCCCTCCCCTTTCCCGCCAACACCCTTCCATCCCCGCAAAGCATCGAGGTACCCGATGTCATGCGGCTCCCGTTTTTTGTCAGCTCCCGAGATGGCGGGATGCTTTATTCGACAGCCATCTCGTCAACGAGCAGCAGTTTTTCACGGCCGGAAGAACCGCCGAGTCAGTCGCCTGAACTAAGGGCATTTATGGCCACGACTTTGCTGACTACCGTTTCAACTTTTGGTAGACGTGCTTATTTTGGGGAATCATGGCTAATGAGGGGAGATGGGAGGCGCGCCCTAACAGGCAAGCCTCAACTCCAGGGAGTTCCAGGGAGGGGCCGAGTGCCTCTTCTCTCGTTGTCCGTCGCAAGGGAACACAGGCAAGCGCGCTCCGGAGCCGAAGCCGCCCGCGCGAGGGAGAGCTGTCAAAAACGCAGATCTACGGCGGTGATCCTGTGGCCCCCGGTCGGCACCACAATTGATTGGGCCTGTGGCTGAAAGGAAGTGGCATGTTCCGAGTAGCATCAATGTTTTGCCCTGGTGGCCGTGGCGAATCCTTGCCTCGAAAAGCATTGTCCGGGGTCCCACGATAATTCTTCTGCTCGCCATTCTTTGACAGGTCCCAGAAACAGGTCAAGGTGTGTGCATGACAGGTCCAAAGACTGGAAGGTTCGTGACGAGATCTAGGGAAACGATAATTGCGATTGGTCGCTCGGGGCAGTATACGGTACGGTTGATCTGAGGTCGATCGGAACCAAGATGGGATTGCTCAGGTTGTCAAACGCCAGCCTTGATTGCGATTGGCTCCTCAGGATCTGTCATGATGGGCTCCTTGTCAAGTCTCGCCTCAAGTTGCTGCGCCCCAAGAAAGTTGAGTTGGGGTTCCGTGGAACGGCGTGCACATCACACATCACACAAAGGAGGGTGGGAAGGAGACAAGGAGAGACGGAAGCCCGGGTGCTGACTGATGGGGGACCCGTCAGGGGCCACGGTGGTATCGCGAGTTTGACATCTGAGGTTTGCTGGTGTGAGTGCGTGGTAGCAAGGAGAGGGCGTCTTCTTTTGCTCGTTGATTTGGGACGTCGCAGCTACTATGGTACCCCGTAGTTGGAAACCGCTCCTGGGACACGCCAAAGGCACAGCGTGCAGCGACTGCACGTACGCTGGTGCCCTCGCTTTGGGTCGACAGTTTCGATTACCAGTAGCCTAGAGTACGGTGGCCGCTGACTGGCTGACGGAATGCTGCTGCTGTCGAAAACGCTGCAGCCCGACCGCTTTCTGGTCCAGACGGCGTTGTGGACTCCCATCGAGGCCTCCCCCTTGTCAATGTTGTTTTGTTTGATAAAGTAAGGTGAGGTAGGAGAG